GCTCCCCTCCAATCACGATCTCATTCGCTAGACATAATATAACTCTCTTTAAGGCACGATAGCCTGCTGTTAGCTCTCCGAAACGATGTCCATCCGTTACTGGGGACTCAGCCGACGTGCCACTGTTGGATGATTTTGTCTTTAGTATTGCGGCACAATAACTGAGGTATTTTCCACCTGCAACTCACGTGTATAATAATGAATGATGAGGCGCTCACGGTGTAGGAACCGGAGGTGCCAGCGGAATTATTTATTGTGTCAAGCATAGCTGCTACTAGGTGCATCCGTTCCGACAAACGGGACATCCACCTCTCTTCGCAATTCCTATCGGAGGTTGCATGGTACGACTTTCCCTCTGTGTCTAAGGATTGTGTGGTGTGCATTGTTTGTGCACTCATTCCTCGTGCGCACACAGCTGAGGTTCTAAAGTGTTTCTTGCCTTTGAGAGAGTTATTACGGCCTGCTGTTGGCTGGTTGCCGTTTCGTGTCCTGGCAGTAGTGTCCGTCTTTAGTCACCCACAATAGGCTATCTAGAGAATAACATAGCATAGTGCCACAGCAGCACGGGTTCCACCGAAATCGGTCCTGCACTGCAAACTTGCTGCTGGCCGAGCTAGTTGGACGGAACTTTTTGATACCATATTAGGAGTCAATGTCTTATATCAAAACCCCTTAAAAGCATTGGGTCGTCTTGACCACCGCATTGTTTTTCACGAGTTTCGAAAATGTGGAATCGGTGATCCTCTTCTGAGTTGGTTAGGTAACTGCCTTATTCAACTTAAGCTGAATGCGAGAGTCCGCAGCTCCGTTTTCGACCCAAATGACGTCCGATATGATGAACCTAAGGATAGGTACTGTAGCCACGTTTATTACTAGTATTCACGAACGCTCTTGTTATGGTGCTCCAGTCAACTACCAGTATTTGCAGACGATGTCGAGATGTGGCATAGCATCAAAACAGTGGACGTTCACATGACACTGCAAATCGATCTCGAACCGGCCCCTGTTCAACATGGCGAAATTCAAACTTTTGCGCACATGCCATCAGTGTACCCATGCATATCGACTTGGCGAACAGTAGCCGCAAATTTGTTACACGCGAAACCGATCTCGGAATAACTATTCAAGTAGGACGAAAAACACCGAGAAGAACAATCAATACTCTGCCTACCATAGAGAGCACTCGGGATTTGTGAGACTTCTATCTTCTCCCAGATGCTTAACACCCAGGTGAGGCTCCATGTGGTATACACCATTCACATCTGGCGTGTTCGTTGTAAACACGATTTTGATGCGCTTGAGGCTTTACAACATAGGGTGGCCAAATTCGTTAGGGCTGTTTCACTTCCCCTATCAAACCGGACTGCAGGCGCTAGGACTGTACAGTGGCTTATATGGGTATCCATGGGCTATCTCAACATGGCTTACATAATGCTAACGTACCTCCTACACGCCTTTCTCAGTCTGCTGCAACTTAGGTGCAATACTAACCTGAGAAGTCATCAGCTCAAACTGGTCATGCCCTACAGTTGAATTCATTGCGGACCAACGTGTATCTCCAGTCTGGTATCCCGAGAACGGAACGTTCTGCTAACTCAGTTTATGAACGATATCCCAAGGGTCGCAGTATACCTGGATGACGCATTGTTTATGGGGTCTGACCCACAAGCATTGTTGGCCACATTAGAGAAAGTGCTCACTTGTCTAGAAGAAGCTGGCTTCCGGTTACGAGCGGAAAAATGCAATTTCATGATGGAAAGTCGTAAGTTTCTCGGGCTCATCATTGACAAACATGGCCGACGTCCGGATCCCGCTACTATAGAAGCCGTCAAGCAAAAGCCACCAGCAAGGGACGTTGTCGAACTTCGTTCATTTCTCTGTCTTATAAGTCATTATAGTGCCTTCCTACCAAGTCTACATCAGACAAGGGGTCCTCTGAACGAGTTGCTGATGAAAGGGAAAGAAAGGCAATGGACAAAGGAGTGACAACAATCCTTTGATAAAGTTAAAACAGTGCTCAGTTCTGATTTACTTTTGACCCACTTCAACCCAAACTTGGAGATTGTTGTTGCTTCGGACGCTTCCAATTATGGGGTAGATGTTGTCATTTCTCACGTGTTCCCAGGAGGAGATGAGGAGGCCATTGCGCACGCAGCACAGTCGCTGACAGTGGCCGAGAAAAATTACAACCAGATTGAGAAGGAAGCACTGGCGATTGTTTTCGCAGTGAAACGGTTTCATAAGATGCTATATTGGAGACATTTCAAACTGCTCACGGACCACAAACCTCTACTCTCGATATCTAGATCAAAGAAGCGTATTCCTGTTTTCACAGCAAGTCGGTTACAGAGATGGGCAACCGGAATGCTGACTTACGATTTCATTATACCATACCGATCTACACAACAACTCCGCCATGTTGACGGTCTATCTCGCCTCCTCAGTTCCCATTTGAAGGAAAACCATGACTGCGTGATTTCATCTGTCAAATTCGAGTCGGAATTTCAGCGCATCCTGGTTGACATTGTAAGGGAGTTGCCAGTAACTTCGGACACGATTCGTGCAGAGACGGCTCAAGACGATATCTCGCTGAAAGTGATAGGGTTTGTGCGGTCCATTTGGCCTAATGTCAGAGTTTCACATGAGTTACAACTTTTCTTTAATCGATGCGGATCCCTTTCGGTCGTTGATAATCCTCTAATGTTCGGAGACAGAGTCTTGGTACCAAGGAAGTTACGGAATCGAATACTACAGCAGTTTCATTCAGAACATCCGGAACCAGCCGAATGAAGTCACTGGCGTGATGTTTGGTGAATTGGTCTCAAATGGATGCAGAAATCAAGCTGTTCTGCCAAAGTTGTGAATCTTGTCAACAAGCGGCAAAGGCACCTCCGAAATGTTCGTGCCACCCTTGGCCCGAGTTGAAGAAGCTCTGGCAGAGAATCCACTTGGACTATGCGGGACCAATCAACGGTCAATCTTATGTGACTTTTGGTGATTCCTACACAAAATGGCCCGAAGTGATTCCGATGCAAAACCACACCGCCCAGCACACTATCAATGAGCTGAACAGTTTCAGTATTTTGGCACCCCGGAGATGCTGGTTACAGACAACGGAACCCAGTTCAACTCAACACTATTCCGAGAATTTTGCATGCAAAACGTAATCCAGCGCAAGTTTTCGCCGCTGTGCCACCCGCAATCGAATTGGCAAACCGAACGGTTTGTAGATACCTTTAAACGTGCTCTTCTCAAAGTTGGCGGAACGAGGGTGCCACGAGATGCAATCCAGCCGTTTTTGAGAATGTATCGAAACACTCCGAATCCAAACACACCGGAGGGTAAATCTCCTTCTGATGATCTATTTGGACGAAAAATTAGAATGATATTTGATAGCCTGATTCCAAGAAATGTTGGAAAACGCAACGGACAAACGAGAGAAGGGTAGGATAAGAGGCTTTGCTCGTTCAAGCTTGGCGACTTGGTGTATGCACGAAACTTCCACACCCCGGAAAGATGGGTTAGCGAAACGGTTAGTGGAAAGAGGGGTAAAGTTATTTATGAGATACTGGTCGGAAAGGACAAGTGGACCAGACACATCAATCATCTACCACGGCGGCATGTCAAAACTCAGAGACAACAAGAACTAGCGCCACTACAGTGGGACATACTACTGGATACATTTGGTTTTGAAAACAGAACTGCTCTCTAAAGCGGAACACAGCCGGTCACACAGATGCCACACGACGGGACATGCAGGCCAAGTCGAAGAAGAAGGCAACCGCGATGGCTACAAGTGAACTTCAGGTTAAAAAGCTACGAACAAGCTCAAGTGCGGAAAATAGGTAGGAGCAATCAATTCAAAGGGGGAGGTAATAGCAAGGTAAGCGGAGCCAATGTCCAGATACGTGGTCGTGCACAGGTTTACCGAGGAGCGCGTGAGCTGTCTGCTGCATGCGAAGGTCACCAGCACGAGCGTCGGACGACCTTCGATTGTTTTACCAAATTGGGAAATCGGGTGCAAACTGATTGGCCAGCAAATACAAGTCCTAGTCAACGGAGGCGAGCCATCCTGCCAAATATGGAAAATCCGTGGGATGGAATTAACTCACATTAGCTGAGAGCCAAACGCTTCCAAAATTAATATGTTTCGTTCACCAATAAATAGAACTGACCTATCGTGTAGAATAGGCTCCCTGTTTACCGAGCCCTGGCCTTCTATATCCCCTCGGTTGGTTAGGCGCGTGACTGAGCAATCAGGCGGTCGTAGTCTCGCAGGCGCAGGTTAGCAGCAGTGCAGCAGTACAAAGGCAGCTTTACAACAGGTGCATCTATATCATCGTCATTCCAAAGAAGACATAACGACGGTACCCTATCCCATTCGCATTAATTGACACAATCCACTTCGGTCGGAAGACAAAATTATGTAGAGCAAACAGTGTGCTCACCAGCCGTATCCGAAATAATGCGATGGGAAATTTGCGCCTATGTTCATATACTCGTTTGGTAAGTCACCTGAAACCTGAATTTTCCTGGATTTTACCTCTGGTTTTGTATTCCTTACTCCGGTCATCCTATGGGACGTGGCAAGCCCCGCCTTTTTATTCGCTACAATTTATTGCTGCTTGTTCAGTTTCAACGCAATACGGCGAAATGGGCACTATCTTTGAGACGTCTAAGTTAGCTTCATTTTTCGGCCAGATTTTTGGCAATCCATTGCTTGAGGATATTGCCACGCAAGATGGGGTAGTCAGTGACTCGATGGACTATCGCAGGTTTAATTTTCGCTTCACGTGTTTGACATTCACTGAAAGACTGTAATGGCTATGCTTAAGACCGTAATTCTCCCCATTGGTCTGTCTTGTGATCCAAGATCATTAACAAAAATGTCCACCTTGTGTGCTGTTTTTTTCACATACGTGCTCTAGTGTTGACATTAAAAATATTCGCTTTCCGTTATCATTCGCCTCTTGTGACAACATTTCTCATCTCTTTCAAAGGTATTAGAAGGTTATGGTACTACGGAGACCGCAGGAGTGGTTTCTATTACTATACCCGCTGATCCACTTACTGGTCACGCAGGTTCGATTGTCCGAGGTGTCCTCGTCCGACTCACGGACGTTCAATCCATGGATATTAAAGTAGCAAGGGACAAGATGGGAGAGGTAAGCTTATAGGTACCTTAACATGTTACTTAAATAGATGGCGATACGCCACCGCATTTCTTCCTGCCTGTTAATTTTTTATGGAACTCCATAGTGCGTAGAAATTTTTGTCCGAACTTTTGTGATTTTCTTGGAACCGATTGAAAAGTCATGGTTTTACAAGGATTCGCGGAGTATCAGTTGATTTATTTATCAACAGGTGTTATTGATTAAGAGGTTTGAGCCGAACCAGTTGATCGTCACGTCATTCAACTTCGGTCTCAAAAGGAAATGGTTACTTTGCATTGCTGAAGCGCTTCTTCTCGACTGTATGCACCAGGTTGTAACCGTTTCTCTTCTGGTATCACTGTTATCAAATAAGACGCATCCTACTAGCAATGGCATGCCATCTTAAATTTACATCCGGTCTTGACTTGTTCTGTGTTAAACCTTTGGGAGGTGGCAGTCATCTTGTACCAATATGTATAACGTAAGCTGTCTGCAACAGGGTTGGGGTTTATCCCATTTTTTCACAGTGGGGATCAGTTAAGCAAGTGACTGTGATCCATTGAAGCTGGTACGCGTCCACGACACCAGGGTTCTCATCCCGTCTCACGTTATCTGTTTTTTCAGAGTATTCGACAGCTGTCGTAATCAGGTCACATGAGTTTAGAGGCGCTAGATTTAATTTTTATTTCAAAGCACCGTTAGCATGTGAAATGATCGTGCGACTTTTTGCTTAGTTTCGCAATTCCACCTAGTGTGTGTTGTAAATGCTTCAGATAAATTTGACTTATAATTAGTTCTTCTTTTATGTGTTACGCATTTTGTCCATTGGGTAAATGTACTCCTCATCATCCCAAAAGGAATGGGAAATCATGATTGTACTCAAGGCTCTATTGATTTTGCCGGGTTACATGGAAAGGGCGCGTTACTTGTCAATTACATAATGCGGAAAATGTGCCAGTGAGATCTATTTGGTGCACTCTTCTGCTCGTTCCTTAGTACTCTCTAATTACCGCACTGGAAGCATTGGGCGTATTTATCCAACATTACTATTAAACACCAAACAATGGTCTGGAGTCTGAGCCGAGGCCGCGAAAACCTTAAGTAACTTAATGTGGGGGCCGATGTTTCTGGATTCACCCAAAAAGTCAGTCTTCTCAACTCATATGTGGAGCAGCATATGAGGACAAACTCATCGACGCGTATCTGCATGCAAATAGTGATTAGAATCTTCGTGCACTCGCGCCCCTCTCCTTCAAGGATTTACTGCCGTATTTCAGGTGCAGATCGTTCAACACAATTTTCCATTCCAGTAGTAGCTTTTTGCGCCCAGAACGATGAATATTTAGCTGTTATACATAAGCCTTTGACACTGTAAATTAATAAGTTCATAAGTGGCCTAGACAACAATATAGTTACAGAGCGAAATTGCTTATAACCTCCCTAACAACTGACTTGCGACTGAACAAAATACATGCCAAATATGGAATCACTAGTGAGCAGTAAACCGTTGCACAGGTATAAATGGAGCTATACTTTCATCTGTTTGAGAAAGTTTATCTATAGTGAGTCAGTCATGAAGTGGGTGACTTGTATTAGTGAGCATGTTTGAAACAAACCTTTGCACGAACTGTTATGAGTACACACAAGAACGTCTACGAAGGTCGGCTTGTAAATGCTACTACTTCGCGACAGTTGCGTCAATGACTTATGAAGGATTTTGAAACCAGATATTCACAGAGGAGCAATAGGTCTAGTATGGTAAGACACAAGTGCTGCTTAATCCCAGTATTACATTTATTCAACTCGTGCTATCTAGTGCATCACGCATCATTACTGCATTCGATATTGTAAATTCAAGAGACTTTTCATTGAAACCTAGCTCAAAGCGACACTACTTTTTGAATGGATAATTTACCTTTTGCTACATTCGTGAGCGTACACTTAACGATATCCAATGATTTCTGTTGTTCAAGAATCCGATACACCGCTTGATAGCTGCGATAAACTTGGTAGCCGTCATCTTAAAAAACGCCAAACTAGCGTGAAACTAATCGCGCTCGTCAACGCTCATTAAATTTCCGTCACTCCAAACTCCGGTCGGGTCGATAGCTAAGCACCCACTAGCAATAACAGAAAGGTTGTTTTTCGCAACTTCCGGAACTGGCGAAGAGTAACTAAACCCCCCCCCCCATTGAAGTCACTGTTCAGCGCATTGCTGAAGTAAACGAGTAAGATGTGTGCATCAAGGACCCAACTGTTCAAGAAAGGTCATTTGTCGAGTCCCATCTGCTTAGTTCGAAGCTGGGCTCCGATTCGTATAACATTGTCGAATGATATCGTCTGCCCGTTCAGACACGAGCGGTACGCTTACTATCGATGACCAAACGGCCATTGGAATTTATCCACTTGACTGACGTTAAACTAACCACTGTTCGTCGCACCGCATCATGATAAATAAAGTCTTCCGGACCATACGATCGCCGACAAAACTTTTGCTTTTCGAAGCCGTGGTCAAAGACTGTCCGCATTTGAATGATTTGTTGTAATTGCAGTAACTAATTCCATCCCACATGCACCCAGTTATCGTTAGCCCGTGTGAAAGATAGGACAGAAAACGACCGGGTCTTCTTGGACCTGTTGTTCACCAACGAGGAACTGATGACTGACCTAGTAACAACGGGTACTCCTCTGGGCAATGGCGCTGATGCAGCACTACTGTTCCGCCACATTTGCCACGCACAATATCTTAAAGATAACTCTAACGAACCTCATGTTGTAAGTAATTATGTTTATCTATCTGACCCTATTGACGTAACTAACTGGTCTTTCTTAGCCGAATGGTCCCTTGAGGTGGTATTGCAGAGTGTTTTTCAACCGATTCAACAAGTTAGTGTTGAGCACATCAAACAGCAACATCCACTATCGGAAGAAATGATGCCGTTATTAACACCAGGATTCGGATATACTAGGCCTTGAGGAACTCAGCTTACTTAGCCTTCATGAAAATGAAGACAACTAGAATGCGTATACAACGCAAATGAACCACCGCGGTGAACTCAGTCGTTGGGATAGAGCAAATTATAGACAGGACTTTGTGATAAGATTACCCTTCAACTCAAGCTGCTATACAGACACGCGAAAAGGCCTCATATATTCGCGCACGGAATTCCCGTTCTGCACGCAGCATTTGGGATAGCCCAAAATTCGCAACAGGCGATCAACCTTCTTGGATAACAATTTAGCCGCGCCTTACAATATGTGCCGTCATCTGATATTCTTCCTACGGCTAATTTGGCGCCATCAATGCTCCACTACATATCCCTTACGGCCACGGCTCTACTGGATTGACTGATGTTCTTGTGCGAATACTGCTCACCTAGTGCAGACGGCATTCGCCCAGAGGCTTTGAAAGTGACTGTCATGAGTCTAGCTGGAGAGCTAGCCAGGCTCTTTCAGCAGATTCTTAATGTGATGCAGGTTCCACAGGATTGTCACTTTAATCTACTGGAAGGCACCCGTACCCAAACAGCGAATTACACTGTCCTACAAAACTTTCCTTTTTTACAGAGAGCAAATGCTAGTTTAGGATATATTTACTGGGCTAAAACTTGGAATACCATTGGTTTGCAGACAGCCACCAAAACAGTATGATGAGTGTAATGGTTTTATGGTTAACAACATAAAAGTTGGTAGTAAAAATCGAAACTGGTGTTAGTATCCTGACTTAACTTCGGCAGGATGACGTAATGTATCTTTGCATGATTTGTCTTTTCCAACACACTGTCTAATTCCTGTACTTCCACTGGTTGAATCTAATGGGTCAGATTCGTTTAAAGGCACAACAGTGGAGACAGTGACAAGGGTTTTATTACACCTTTTTCATTTCTTCGACGTTTAACCCCGAAGGAATTGAATGATATTATCATGGTCTTTAACCTCTCAAAGGAGCTATCTGAATTGATGGATTCTATGATGAGAAAAATAATAGCTCATTGCTCTTTGACAGAGATGGTATTTTACCCCGAAGGAGGATAGCGTTAATTAAAGTTTTTCATGAAGATATTTAGTTGGTTTTGTGCCACGACATTGAGGGACTGCTAACGAAATTGCGCTTGATGAAATACATACCAAAGGAACAACTCCTAATGGCAGCTTCAAAAGTGGTTCGGATGGTCTGACTTTGAAAAACAGCACTGAATACGACTCCCTTCCCTCTGATCATTCAACAGGCTTAAAAGGGGAGTACAACGTGCGCACTTTTATACAACATAAAGCAACTCAAGCAAGACGGGATGGTGTGTATTGATTTAATGATGAGGAATTTATTTCAATGTGGATTCACTAAGTACCCCAGTTGTTCATGTCACTGGGGAAGCTAAGACAAACAGAGCACTGAGAAGGAAGAGACTGGCCACCGTTAGAAACAACTGTAGCTGGGGAAAATAACTTATTCAACGCACCTTCGGTGGTTAGTGATGAAATCCATTTAGTCCAATAACACATCAAGTTAGGCTTGATTAGACCGTTTGGAACGTTTTGAACAAAAAAGGTTTCTATTTTGATTTAATTACATGCAACATTCTTTGAACAATCATGGAGAATTTATAAGAAGGAGTCTTTCCTGATCCTCTAAATGGGCAGCTTATTCAGGATTCCCCATTTATTGATGCTATGAATCAGATAGATTGCATTGTTTTGTTTGCATTTATCCAATCTTTTACAAATCTTGTTGGAAACAATAGAGCGGAAAGCTAATCCGATTAAGTTAAAGAAATGTTCAGTAAATTTCAGAAATTTGCCTGTAACATAAACAATAAGATCCTGTACTTTCATAGTCACCTAGAAAGCTTTCTGAAAGACTTGGGGTGCGCAGAGGTGGAACACTGTGAAGCATTCCACCAAGGTATTAAAATAATGGAGAGCAAATGCCAGGCAACATGGGACTCCAGTATGATGGAGAATTAAATTAGAGCTTGCAACCAGGATGTACTAAAACATAGGTGCAAGCTGCGAGGGAGTGCACACCAGTGAGGAGCCAAAGTAGAGCGTAACGATCGCCAGGAGCTTTGCCGGATTGGCAGTTAACATTTACGGCTTGTCTCTAGTAGGGCTGAACCAACTAATCCTTACTTAATCTGTCTATCCTCAAGTAAACAAATTGGAAGTCTGAAAAAGATGCGTCATGTGTATCAAATGAGTACTAGTTTCCGTCAATTTTTTCAAGCTTGTTACTAATCTATTGTGCATCGTTTAACTTTTTGTGCCTTTCAGAATTAATCATGTTTCGTTCTATAAGAATAATAGTTATATAAATGTCCAGCATTGTAAACAACTTCTGCATCATTCCGCAGAAAACATAAACCTGAACTTTGATGGCTTTGTCGTCCAAACAGAAACAGAAGTGCACAAAAGCATTACATAATTTTACTCGAAAATTACCATTAGCAACATTCTTCGTATTTTTATTATACTAAAGCTTGTTTTGGCTACAAAATATTTTGTGGAGTAGCTTACATGTTTCAGCCTTTGTAGAATACTTTAAATGTACCAAGTCAGGATCGAAACCGACCGACCGAAAAAGATTTTCCGCCAAATGTGGTATATAATTACTAGCCAAACACAGAACATGACATCTATACTTGTACATTTGAAGAGTTTTGTGCAAACTCGTAACGCGTATTTTATCATGAGATCCTTTTGGTCTCTGGACAATGATGCGCGAGTTAAGGTAGTGATGTCCGGAAAGTTTTATCAAGTAGGGACATCGTGGCAAAAGTTGGTTTCAATCAAACCACAGTCATCAGATTTATCAAAAAGCAAATTGGGAATAGCAACACAGCTGACATGTACCAATCCCGTTGACCAAATTATTAAACACACTGAGATATCAGAGCGTTGATGAGTGCATCCTTGCATGACATGAAGCTTACATCTCCTCAGATGCTGAGGGAATGAAAGGATAAGCGTTCGGTGGAGGGGCGCACCTCAGTGACAAGAATACGATGCTTGGGATTTGGTAGGTTGCAGGCAGAAAGTGAACACTGTGCCTCATTCACCAGGGAAACGAAGGCTGGAAAGGGTGAGAAAATATACATGTTGGGCCAAGAAGGATTTGGACAGCGTTTTATTTATTGATGAGTTGCCTCTGCATTCTCGGAAATCATGGCAGCACGTTTGTCCGACAGCTTCCAGAGAAAGAAAACGCACACACAAACCACAGTGTCACCATTTCTCTGCCAAGCGTCCAACATAGCTAGAGATTTGGTGTTACGCAGCCACCAACGGAGTTGAAAGGCTCCGCATCGTCGATGGCATGATCAGTACATGCAAACATGTGCAGATCCTCAAAAAAGGCATGTTACCATCAGCTAAAAATCTATGCAAGTAGCAATACTTCATCTGTGATGACAGTGTGCCATGACGTCGTACAAAGACAGTCGCAGAGCGGATTTAAAAATAGTGTGGGAACGCTCGAATGGCTAGCTCAATTCCCGGATCTAGGTCTAATTGAATGTTTTTGGTACTTATTATCACTAGATGTGAGGCCGCACATGGAATACACCCGTCTGTGTGGCAGTCCTATTAGAACCGCCACATCAGGACACTCGGAAATGCAAAAGGCAGGGCGACAACGAACATTACTGGATTACCTCACTTTCCCTACGAACTCAGGCCGAAAACTCTAGAATTGCACAGCAGACAGCATCGATGTCCCTGGGGAAATCTCATAATCGTGTGTCAGATTCTAAAATACTCAACCACCCCACCACTTTTTGATAATTAGCCAAGATACATCTTTGAGATGTCACTAGTTTAAGTTGGCTACGCAGTACAGCCCGCAGGAATGTCCATGAAATGTGTTCTCCCTCTGTGCGTCAGTCCTGGAACCCTCCCAGCACACATAAGTAATACCTCCCACTTATCTTTATTCAAAAGACAAACAGACCACACTCTAGCACGTCCCAAAATGCCTGTGGTCATTCAAGGGAGCATGCTCGGTCCATCACTCTTTCTTGTCTACATCAATGACGTCACCACGTCTGTAAAACACAGTAGGCCATTTTTATTTGCTGACAATATCATAACCGTCTATTAGCTTCGGCTTGACGAGCTCCACGGAACGCTACTGCTCATTCAAGATGACTTGCATTCTCTTACGTCATGGTGCCACACGTGCTTGATGAACCTCTCGGTTAAGAAAGTAAGCATCATGTCTTACGGCTGTTCCTTCCCCGAAGGATCTAGCGCACTAAACAATGAACGTGTCCGTACACAGCTGTGCACACGTGATATTGGAATTTGGTGCTCGTCTATCTCAGTCACTCCGAACAGACTCCATATCAAGTAGCACTTACTAGACAGTTTATTTTCAATATATACAGCAACATCCACACAATCCATGCGAGAGCTGAACGTTTTAGCTATTCACTCGCCCCATCCTCGAATACTGCAGTATAATATACGGAAATATGTGAGTAACAGACTTGCTGTGGAGCACCTGCAGAGGTCATTTAATAAGCATCTGATTGGTAAGCACTCTGCTATGAGTTATCTAGAACGTTGCAATGAACTTCAACTCGAACCACTTTGGATTCGACGCTTGAAGCCCAACTTGTTGTTGCTTTTCAACCTACTACAAAAGAAGATCTATTCCGGCCTGTATACACTCAAATTACAACATGGCCCAACTCGAGCCCTTCGTAATAAAGATTTCACACTGAATATACCAAAGGCTAGAACGGACATTCGCTCTAATTTCTTCCTGGTCAGATATTACTATCTGTGGAGTAGACTACCAATAATACTCAGGTTATGTGATAATGTCGCAACATTTAGAAGCAGACTCTTCAGTTATCTTGATTTAAATACCATGATCACTGTATCCACATAGGAAATAACGCTCGATAAGGTATTCTAAATGGGACTAAGCATATAAACACTAATGTTTTCCAAACAAGACTTTTGCCTCATCCATCCATCAGAACGTAACTACATGAAACGCATACCCCAATATTCCACCTATGCATGTCGCCCATGCAAGAGCATGGATACTTTTGTACAAATTGATCTGTGCCGCTACAGACACAGTTTCTCGCATCAGAAGAAATATATATATATATATATATAGTTATTATTATTAATTACACTAACGGATATAGTCGTGACCAGCAATTGATGGCATTAGCGAAAAACAAACAGTGGACCATATCAGGGTGCAGTTAAACTCCGCACAGGAATATTCACAAATGTGCTGCTGTAAAACTCTTGTTGAGTTTCGTAACTTACGCGTTCTTTTATTGACGGCGTAGTTATTTACTTTAATCCACCTACTGGACTTAACAGGCATTTTCTATTTTACCTGCTCTAAGTCATTGCTCCATTGCTCCAATATAAGTCAGTCTGATGGCCGAGTGGTCCACATGCCTGGCTTGCACTCATAAGGTCACCGGTTCGAATCCGCGTAGGGGTGGGCATCCTCGCGGCATCCTGAGCCAACTTGCGACTGGTGGTGGTCGCGTGGTAGCGAAACGCCGTTACGGCGTACAGCTGACACATTCTTTATTTATTTATTACCGGAACAAGAACACCTATAAAGTTCGATGTTGACCTTAGTGTTATCCTGGAAATAAGAAGCCAACTGCTTATGAACAATGAACAGTGATTTTATACGGGTTAAGAAACGCTGCTTTACAAGCCTCGTTGTGTAGTCCGGGGGGTTATCGACAAGCGTTAATGAAAAAATGCGGTTAGTAGTTCTAGTATCAAAAGAATGGACTTTTCGTATGTAATGCAGTAGCCCTTCGCTTCTAGTGTTTCCATACCTCCAATAGGCGAAAATATAAAGCCAAGGTATTTCCCAGGAGTGTGATGGAGCGTAGTGTCAAGTAACCGAATCTAAGTGGCGGAGTGCGTTATCCAACTGACTTTTAAATATGATTAGCGTCGGTGCAGAAACAACGGATTCGGCGAGAGCGTTCCATGGTTGACACAAACGAATGGAAAAGAGATTTACGGCACGCCAGACGGCTATACTGTTTTGCTAATTTCAAAGAGCTGTTTCTCAAGTTCGTGTTGCTGCTAAGTTGCAGTAAAGAGCGGTACACATGATTGTGATTGTGTAGAATCAAGTATGCAATAATCAAGTTGCCTTGCAGTCGGCGATACCGCCCGCTGAATACTACCAAAAGTTTCGGCCTCTGCTCGAATGGAAGGTGGCGCATTCCAATGGCGCATTTGTAGCCATGAAAACACCGGTTTGAATCCGTACTGAATGCGTGCTTCAGTGGCAACATCCAGCAGGGTTTTGGGTCATTCCCAGTTTATAAACATGGAAGGCTAACGACACATCCCAAAACACACTGCTGTGTGCCTTAACTGAGAGTTCCACGTTCTTCGCGTGCGCATGCACGCTCAATCTCGCAACTGATTGGATGAAGGTTTGTGGATTGATTGCCAGCACACCTAACGCATGTAAAGAGACGACTCATCCTTGTAGGTGCGATTTGATTGCAATTCGTGTGCTTTCGGGGTACTGTTGCAGAGGCTGGTTTGCAGATGGGCTTGTTGCGTTTATTGGGTTAAAGCACACACCTTGTTCAGTATCAAGGTAATTCATTATTTTTTATTATTCTGCACCGCTCTTATCGCTAAATAGTGTCCATAGACATAAACGCCACTGATATTCTGTTGGAGGTTTCTCATAAGTTACAGTAGTAACCATGTAGCACCATTGAAATTTGACTGGTAGATTTATGTCGCGGTAACACAGCTTACACATCAGGTTTATCGTCGACTTCGGGACGTAAATTTGATTGCTGAACCATTATGGATGACTGAGGTTTCGGTATTACGGTATTATCATTATACACCCTTTTCCTTTATAGGTATGCGTCAAGTCCGGAGGGTGTACATCCGGTTATTACAGAGATGAAGAGAGCACAAAAGAGCTCTTTAACGAGGACGGATACGTACGCACGGGGGACATTGGTCGTTGGACCGCAGTGAGTGTCTTTTCTACTGGAGAATCACAACCCAATAACTAGTGACTTCTAACATCTTTAGGTCGACCGGTTCAATAAGCAGGTTTAGCAATGGGCACTAACATTCACAGTAACACGTAGTGGATAGCATTGTATTGAACGATGTCAGTAGTTCAAGCCTCTTTCGTTCACAAGAATTAGTACCGTTCAATTATTGCGTCCATGTAATTCGAGAGATAGATTCTTATAAAGATTTGGGGAAGTAGATCGCAGCCCATGATGGATAACTACGCTGCAGTTTGGCAACCGATAACTTGTTTTGCTTGCGTCCGTTGGTTGTGCAAGATTCGGCGAAACAAAATGCCACTGCTTTGATATGCTTTGCTTAACATATAATCTAGAATGATCTTTGAGATTTGAATCTCGTTTGATTATAGGTTAAACTCATAAATGGACTTCGCAAAACTCGTGCTACACGTTCAAACCACGTGCCGTTTTTACAAAGTTTTAATGCGGCTACTGAGGTTACTTCCGGCCGAATTCCAACGAATCTGACTTGCGACCTAGTAGCAACGAACTCGGTTTTGTGTGCAATGTGGAGTGCAGTAACGTGTTCAGATAAATATTACATGTTGATACTTGCGTTATCTTCGCACCGGCCTTGTCCATTGTTTCTGCCAAGTTTCTCAGTAAAAGGTCAAACTATATTTTCATTTCTATGAATTCTACCGCCTAATAGTCGCCTAGGTAGTTGCTCACCTTGTAGCATTATATGGCTGCCTATTGTATAATCATAATCTGTGGAATATTCATCTGTAGATAATGGGATTTGCGTAGCGATTGATCAAAGAGACTTCGATTTTTGGCGCCAAAGCATAAGTCGTATGTATCCTGGTTCTAGGTAAACTAGGTGAATTTTGATAAGTTTTGGTGTTCTGTCTCTCAAATATAGCAGTGCGTCGTCGGTTTACTTCCTGCGTAATCCATTCATGTAGAAAAATAGCGGTTGGACTCGGAATCAGGTACAATGTCTCATAGTATGCGCCCCATTAATACGTTGTCAAGATACGCAGACACTGCCCACTGCAGTAGTTGCGTTTGAATTTGAGGCATGTGTCACATGCAGCTTGCAACATGCCAACTCAAACTGTCCAAAGGCATTTCTAAGCTACGCTGACCAGGGTTTTTGTGCAGTCTAGAGGATCAGTGTTGAAAATGCTTGGCGGTAATCATTAAACCACAGTCCTTGTTAGCCCTACCCAAAAACAAACACGCAGGGTTGTCGACATGTTGCGGGATTGCAACGTCAATAATATATGCTCATCAGCCGGGTGTGATTCTATTGACCGAAAATGACCGCGGTTTAGGGCAACTAAATCTCGGTCCGAATTATTTTGGCATGTTACAATTAGTTGGTGAGTGTTAAACAACCTTCCAAATGAACAACCTGGTTTCAGTTTAATGGTCTGTCCCAATTCACTGCCAACTCGTTTTCCCCCCCATTTCAAACTGGCGTTCTTCTTCCCCTGATTCTTTTGACAATTCAACTCCCGTTTATCCACCACGATCGTATGCTCACCGGTTGTACCTGTGTATTAGTGGTCTATCATATTCAACTACACGACAACGTTTTCATGACGACTATTGATCTTCGCCTGCTAGAGGTCTGTGCATCTGGGTGAGGACATATGATGTGATCGTTCAATGGAACAATGCAACAATGGTTTTATACGGGTAACCAAGCTAAATGTTGACAGGTCCAGTAGGATGGAATTAGGGAAAGTTTAAAATGTAGAAATTGTCTGCAAAATTAGGCTTACACCGGTGAACTCTCTGCGGTATACGTAGTGTAATTTGTAACTACAATATTAAGGGGATGGACGTGTTGTTAAGGATGAACTGACATTCGGCCTATAAGAGTGCAGAAGCGTACATTCGCGACTATTGTTTCACGCAAAACAACAGTAGCCTGAAACGGTCTCATTCACGCGCAACACGGGGGGACAGAAATTATGCGTACCAGACATATTGTAACAGAAGCGGCGATGGTTGGTTGCAAAATGATCAAACGAAGACAATTGGACAACGTTTCTTTACAAGCATATGCGTTAACTACATCCGGTGTGCCCTTTTTGACGTCCTGCTTTTACATTCCACCAGATGCGTTGCGGACGGTCAGTTGACATTGCTGTTCAACGGCGATGCATAACAGGAAGTTTACCAGAGATCCATTATATGAAAACCTCTAACCTTGGGGAAAATAGTATGCTACGATGGAGCCTTTCGGAGTGACAGACTCAATCATAGACCTACCGTGTTAGGTGGGTGGTTGATTTCTTTATACAGGAATTAGTGAGATGAACTAGTGACAAAACAACAACAAAACAAACTAGTTGGGTACGTTGGCTTTTAGAACGCAAGTGATAGCACATAATATTAGCTAGGAGGCGGGTAATCAACTTGCACTTGTTGCAACCATGGAAGAGACCCTACTGCCACACCGAATGTGGGCTCACGGTTAAGATAAATGGTCCTAAAAATTCTCGCATTGCTCACTGATTATTCAGTTTATATTGCAACAACATTAATATTTGGGATCGTACGATACAGTTCCGGCAAAACAGGACTTTCTTAGAGTGTTTCACGTATAACAGGTAAATCAGGCTTGCTCAAGCTTCAATAGATGAAAATTATTGATTAGTTGGAAGGTTGTTTGTGGCCAAAGTTACAGGGACGATCAAAGTGGGGAGTGTACGGCAGCTACACTGGCGATTCCATGGAAAGTTCGGGGAAACCTCGGATCACCACAAGGAGACATAAGTGTGCAAAACTGATCAAACTGTTTTAAAGTATATCGCTTCAGCGTGAGAGATGTACTGAGTTCGCTGAAATATCAAGGATAGATAAGTAACAGTGTTGAATCAGAGATTGAAAGCTCCTGATGTTGCTAATGTGCTAGACCAGGATAGTAAGAATGGTGGATCTGCGGCAAACAAACAAATAATTATGGTAGACTGGGTTACGAAAGTACACCAAACTAACTAGATAATCATCTTTCCAAAATTCCTGACATTTTCGCCCAGCACCGAAGTTGTTGGGATTGCTGAAAGAAAAACGGACGGTTGTTTGTCAAACGTGGCAAACATTTATATATATGGGGTTTTGCGAAGCACTAAGCGTGAGCCGTGTTCCTTGTGATCATTGTTGGTTATTGACAGTTCCCCTACGAACCAGTAAGAACTTGTTGATTTTCTGTTCGTACTCAACTCTTGATTTCTACCTCTTCAATACTAACGGTAAACTTGATCAGGCGAGGGAAAATGCATGCAGGCGATAACCAGCCCTTAAATTTCAACGCATTTACTACGTTGTAAGATTTCTGAAAGGCCCCAAATGTGCATGAATTGCAAACTGGGGTCTCAGTTTAAACCACCCTCATTTTGAAGAAATCATTGGTTCGTATGAATACTGCGATTTTACTAGAAAGAGCCGAATTTTTGGTGGTGGCAAATGCAACCTACCTCTTTCCTGCCTGAGAAATTCCATTCCGGTTAAGCCTGCTCAAGCAGAGCAAGCCGGACTGATGCTTGAACCTAAAAAGCGGTGATTGTCTTTGTGCGCCACTGCTGACATTTGCCCTAACGGCAGGTATTCCTTTTTTGGACTTTGGAGCACACCCACTTTGAACACGGAATAATGAACAATGAGTGTATGCGGGTTAGGAAACAGTGCTTTAGAAGTCCCGTTAGGTTATCTGGTGGCGTTATTGAAAAAAGTCAATAAAAGCAGTTGGTACTTTAACTGCCAAATGAAATGCTTATCGCTGGTTATTCTGTAGTCCTGCAATCCGCATGGTTTCACGGCAATCAAACTTGACAGCTGATAAATCCAACTTAAACTTCAAGAGTGGAATTGAGGTGTACTAAGTAACAAAATGTAGATGGCTGAGTGCGTCAGCACAGAGACGACCGATTCAGGAAGAGCAATCCATGGGTGACACAAGCAAATTGAAAAGAAATTTCTACGGCACTCCAGACGGCTATACTGTTCTGCGAGTTTCCAAGAGTTTCCCCTTAGTTTTGTATTACTGCTGAGTTGCAGTAATGAGCGGTACACCTGATGTGTGTCGTGCAGAATCAAGTGGATAATTATCAGATCGCCTCTTAATCGGCTATACCGCCCACTGCTAATAAAGGAAATTCACATTCCATTGAGGTACTTTCTGTCCTATGTTGAGGCTACTTTAGTGTATTGTGGTAGTGTTTCAGTCATGTATGCCAGGTTTGAATTGCGCGTTCGACCAGGAGGTGCTGAGCATCTGTCGGAAAATTAAGGTGTCTATTTGTTTGAACGTCCATCGCAACATCCTGACGTGTTGGTTACCAGCTGTCGACGCCTTATCGCAGTACCAGGAACAACCCGGGTCACGCTGAACCAGCACTCACAGATCACTTTCAACTGAAGATCGCTGCAAAACTTGCGCTCCCAGCCTCTATTAGCAATTGCTCTGGTGTCGCATGGATAGCACCTTGCATTTACATATTTTGAATTGCAACAAATTGTGGAATGGACACTAATGCGTCTTGTCTAGGTCCCTCTGAAACAGATGCTAACCGGCATTTCATACATCCTTCGCCAAATTTGGACGTCTTCGGCAAATAGTGGGAATTCTGAGCGACCGTCTGTGCGAGGTCATTAATAAATGCCACAAACAGTCGTTACCAAATAACTGAAACTTGCGGTACACCACACCCGACTTGCATGGGGTTACATAGGCAGTTATGAACTCTGACCACTAACTGCAGTTGGAGCAGAAAGTTGACGACCCAGCTTAAAAGATCACTGATCCCGAAATTCTGGGGTTTGGAAAGAAGTAGCAGATCGAATGCCTTCTAAAAATTCAGATAGATGCCGTCAATATCTTCTCCATCGTCAGTAGACTCTAACTACTTCGTGCGAGTAATACAATCGTTGTGAACGATCGTCGTCGAGGGAAGCTGGGCTGCTCAGGAGTAATGATG